AAGCAGTGGTATCAACGCAGAGTACTCGTCAAAAATGCCTTTTTTAGCCGTTTTATGTGTTTCTTTGATAAAATACTCATCCGAAATATAAATCGGCTCATTTGCCACATTTTTTGCGTTCCTCAAAGATATTGCAAAAAGCGGTGCAGCCATCAGCAAGCCTATGATCAAAATCCAAATTCCGTCCGTGTTCTTCTTCATTGCGTGTTCACTCCAATCGATAATGTTTCACTTTGTTCTGCTCTCCGTATCGGTTCGTTACCGTCACCCACTCGGAGCAGATCGGCACACCCTTCCGCTTCAGTTCGCTGATCCTCGTTGCCAGCTTCGTGATGCCAAGGTCCCTGAACGCATCCAAGGGCGAAATCCAACCGAATTGCGCCATGTAGGAAATGACCTTGCCTTGCTGCGGTGTCAGGATTGTGTTGCCGTATAGATAGACTTTTTTAGCCATGTTTCTTTACCTCCTTTCGTTGTTACGATTCCGTAACATTTTCAGTAAAAAAATAAAGACCAATTTCGTCCGGGTTGATGTCCAACACCTTCACCGCCTTAATGATGTCCGACATAGAAAAGTCAATCCGTCCGTGAATCTTATATGAGATGTTCGCTCTGCTCTGACCCATCGCAATTGCAAAGTTTCCAAGTGTTCCGAACTTCTCAATGATTCTGCCTTTCAGCTTGTTGTAATTCATTCGTGCTTCTCCTTTCCGTCCGACATTGCCGAACTGATTAAATGCTTGATAACTTCAACCGTCCATCCGTTGCCAAGCATCTTGTATGCCTGTGACTTGCTGACCGGGAATTCATACCATTCCGGCACCGTCTGCAAGCGCATACATTCCGTAACTGTCAATTTGCGGATGATGTAATACCCATCAACAAGCTTGATCGGATACCGCTTGCCTTTAACTGTGATCATGCCGTCTTTCACTTCGTACACAGGGTATTTTGTTGTTCCGATGTACTGACTGTACGCAACAATGTTCGCAACACTTGTCTTTTCACACTGTGCTTTTATTGTCTGTGATTTGCCGTCTGCCGTTGTATTCACCGGCATCGCATAACTTCCTGTTTTTGCGTTGCCGGTTGTAATGGAAACCGCCTTCGCATCAGATGAAGTCATTGTGTATGACTTGTCACCGAATGAATGCCCGGTTTCAAGAATATCCTTCAACAAAATACCTCTGTCATCCGGCTGCGGAATATCTGCTTTTCTGTAAGTGCCATCATCCTGACGAATGCCGACCCAATACAACCGCTGACGATTCTGTGCGGAAACAAGCGCGGAATTTATCAAAATCGGTTCAAATCCGAATGTGTCGCAAATGCTCTGCCGGATTGCCTTGCTCATGCTCTTGTTGTTCTCATACAAGAAGTATTTCGGTTTTGCTTCGTGCAATGCACGGACATATTGGCTGAACAGTTCCCAACCCATTCCGCTTGCAACAGTTTCGCGGTTCTTGGTCTGTGCAATGCTCCAATAAGTGCAAGGCGAACCACCAATAAGCCAATCAACGGCCCCCTCATACTTCGTGAAGTCTTCAGCGAACACATCACCGTGTTCCTGAATAATCGGAAAGTTATGTGTTGCGGTCTGTGTTGCATACTTGTCAATTTCGTATGCATCATAGCTTTCGACTTCGATGCCTAACTCACGGAATGCAATCATTCCGCAAGCCATTCCATCGAATAGAGATAGAATTTTCATATGCCTCCTTTATTTGTAAATAATTTTGTTCGTGATGCCGTTATCGTCCTTTGCGACAACAAACACACTTGCAAAGTTTTCTGTAAGTTTCGCTGCATACTTGTCAACTCTTGATGCGTTTTCATATGTGCCGAAGTTGAGATGTCGCTTATTGTATTTGTGCTTTGCATAAACTGTGAATGTTGTCATTTCTCCACCTCCGTGTTGATGTTACTTTTTCGTAACATCTGATATAAGTATAGCACCAAAATTGCAAATGTCAACACCTTTTTACAAAAAATAAAAACACTTTGCGTTTTTGTAAAAGTTATGTTATTGTATCAACATATTGCAGAAAGGAAACAAAATGGATATGTTTGGAGAAAGACTTGAAGAGGCAATGAAAATAAGAGGGATCAAGGCAATCGAATTGGCTGAAAAAATCGGATGTTCAAGAGGAATTATCTCAAGATATATAAACGGCAAGCTTGAACCGAAGGCGAAACGAACACACGAAATTGCGCTTGCACTCGATGTCCAAGAAGCTTGGCTGCTTGGTTATGATGTTTCAATGGATCGTCCGCAGAGCAGAAAAGAAAAGATTGACGAAATAAAAAAGATGCTCACGGAACTAACCCCGGAGCATCAGAAGATTGTCACTGATCTTGTTCAAGCACTAATTGAGAAAGAAAAGAATACAGAAGATTGATTGAATCATCCGGCAATTCGGACAACATCTTTTCAATGTCTTCATCGTCATTGCCAGGTACCTGGTCATACATATAATCACCTCCGAAAATTTGAATCCGTTAATGACATTATAGAACATTTGTTCGATTTATCAATAGCAATTTTAACATTTCCTTTCACTTGTCCAAAAGTTAGGACAATTAAGACAAAAGCAATATAACAACAAAAAGATATTACCGAAATAATTATAGAACAGTTCAAAAATTGTTCAATAGTTATATATAGAAACAAGGGCAAGTAAGCCTATAACAAATGGCAAACAAGCCTATAACCAAAGGCAAACGCAAAAGACCGTTAAACACCCATATTCAAACTGCGAATGGGGTTCAGGAGGCCGCAAGTTCGATTCTTGTCGCTCCGATTTGGAACGGTTGTATTGCTTGAAATACAGCCGTTTTTTTATGTTTTTTGGTCTGTTTTGCGAATGCCTGAATTTTCATTATTAAAAGGGGATTCAGAATGTCACGAATCAAGAAGGAAAACAGAATCTATAATGCAAGAAGAGTGATCACAATCGAAGATGCGTTTTTTCAATTCATTATTGATAAAAAGGCACTTGGATTAAGTGAAAAAACAATCAAAACTTACATTTACGATTTTAACACACTCGGCAAGTACATCGATGTATCAAAACCCATTTCAGCCGTTCACAAAAGGGATTTTCAGGAGGTCTTTGGCAAAATGTCGGATCTTGGATTGTCTCGGAACACCGTCCGGCACTATTCCGCAACCGCCAAAAGTTTCTTGTCTTGGTGCGGACAAAACGGCTTGTGTGATGTCAAAATTGACTTGTTTAAGGGGGAAGAATCCGTACCGAAGACATACACACAGGATGAACTAAAACGGCTCTTAAAACGGCCGAATTTCGCAAAGTGTTCTTTCACGGAACTTCGTAATTGGACAATCATCAATCTGCTTGTAAATGACGGCTGCCGTGCATCAACTGTAAGGGGAATCAAGATTTGTGATGTTCAGCTTGATGATGGTGCCTTATATCTCCGGCAGATGAAAAGACGGAAGACGATCACGGTGCCGTTAAGTGATGCGCTTGTTTTAGTCCTCCGGCAATATCTAAAAATAAGAAAAGGAAATCCGGACGAACCACTATTCTGCAACGAGGACGGCAGCGAAATGACAGAAGCAGGACTACATTCCGCAATTACACGATACAATCATTCAAGGGGAGTCGCGAACACATCAATACACGCGTTCCGTCACACCTTCGCCCGGATGTACTTGGTTGATTGTGACGGTGATGCCCTGAAGCTTCAACGGATTCTTGGTCATTCAACACTTGACATGACAAGACATTATGCCAAGATGTTCGATGCGGACATAATCGCGGACCGTCAAAGGTCACCGCTTGAAGTGTTGCAGCAGAAGAAAATAAAAATGCGTTAGAAATGCGTTAGAAATGTGTTAAAAATGCGTTAGAAATGAGCATAAAAAAAGAGGCACCCACAAACAAAGTGGATGCCTTTTTTGATGTGGATAAAAGATCACTGACCAAGTGCAGAACTCACCACCGGCAAAAGCCGTTCTTCCCAAATAAAGGAGATTTATAAGAATGAAGAAAAACACAGTTTTATTTTAACAGATGCGTTTTCTTAATCCAACCATAAACAGTACCGATGCGGACATAATATCTGTCTTTCCGTTCGTCACACACATCGCACAAGTTTCCAACTTCCAGCTGATGCCATTTCGTCTGCTTCTTTGTGCCTGTTGACTTCAAATAAACCGGGGTCAGCTTGATCGCATGGGCAACAAACATCGGCTTTTTGTTTACTTCGCTTGTCTTTTTCGTCACCATTGCCGTATGACTTGCCGGAGCAAAAACAATGTCACCCGGTTCAAGTCCATAGCCGGTATTTAAGTTCACCTTTGCCGTAATGTCTTCAAAGAACTGTGGCATAGAACTGTACACGCGGTGCATTTCTGCCGTGCGTTCAAGTCCTGTCATCGGAAGTTTATGTCCGATCCCTTCCCAAGTGATTTTTGCAATTGTGTTGACAAGTGAAGAACAATCAAAATCAACTGGGGTTTTAATGTGGCTCGGATCTGGGTCCTTCATAAGTGCCTTGTGTCCTGTCTCACGCAACGGCTGACTATATCCAATCTTCATATTTGCAATAGCCTGATTCATTCGGATCACCATTGCATTTGCAACATTTTTGTCCTTCGGTCTGAATGCGAATGTGAAAGGCCTTCTGTAATATGCAGCCGTCCGAAGTTCATCCCCGGTCTGATTGCCCATTTGGTGAGATGCACCCTCATAGCCGTATGCCTTATCGTGTTCGCAATGAACCGCTTCACCAAGATAAATCATTCAGATGCCTTTCTGTCATTATAGACCTTTGATGCTGCCGCAACGAATACGCCAAGGAAAGTATCAACCGCAGCACCAATCGCAAGCACGATTTCGGACTCCGCCATAAGTCCAAATGCGTTCATGATTGATGCCACCATCGTGACAAAGGGTACAATGCACAGCGCAATAAACTTAATTGTGTCATAAGTCTTATTCGTCATATTGGTCTCCTTTCACTTAAAATTTAATTGCAATCCACTTGTAAGTACCAGTTCTCCAGTAGTATGAAGTGGAACTTGAATATGTGGTGACAACTGCCTGTGTTGCTGATAAAGTCTTCACACCATAAGAGGTAGTGGCATCCGCACCAGTTGCAGTAGTGGTTGAATTGCCGTGATAAAAGCACTTGTTCAGATAGGTTGAACCTCTCCATCCCATCTGTGAGCATCGCATTGCCATCAGCATCGAATATGTGGTCGCAACATTTGCCGTTGCATATACTATAAATAAGTCTGGAGTATATCCAAGGTTATGTGTAATCGTAAATGTCGCACCACCTTGTACCTGTGAAGACAGGGTGTGAGTTCCAGTTGCAATAGCCGTGAATCCTGTCGGCAAGCCACCACTTGATACGGATACAATCAGTTCCGCCAACGCGGTCACATCGTATGTTCCGTTTTCTGTTTTTGTTTCAGAACCTGACGGAACAATGTACTGTGAAGGGATCGAATCAACGGATACGGTACCGCTACAGTAAGTTCCGGCATCAACCGCAGTTTGCTTTGATTTTGTCGGTGTGACCGTTTTTGCCGTCTGCCTCGGAATAATGCTGCCAACATATGACTTGGAGATTCCCGGAACTGATACGGACGAAAGACCATCAAATCCATTGTCCGGCTTGATATCTTGTGACGATTCCGACAATGTGACAGATTTTGTCTGTGTCGCAAAATCGGTCTTTATCGAAGCAATCTCCGAAGCCATTTGCGAAAGTGTCATTTTATCCGTCTTCTTCGTCTTGGTTCTGATCGCATCAGCAATTGCCTTCAACTTATCAGTAAGTGCCATTTTCAATCCCTCCAAGCTTTGCATCAATCAGCGAATTTATGTGTGCATCAGTGACCGCATCAGGAATGACAGTTGTGTCCGGCAATGCTCCGACCTCCGCTGCCGTATAGGTAGGTTTTGACGAAGATTTCGCCCAACTCGGAACCTCTGCAAGCACATCGGAAACAATCTGCGCTTGGGTCTGCTCCGAAATCGTTCCCGGTTCGCCCTTGTCTCCCTTGTCTCCCTTGTCTCCTTTGGGTCCTTGGATTCCTTGAATGCCTTGCAAACCTTGTTCACCTCGGTCACCCTTGTCACCCTTGTCACCTTTTAAGCCTTGAACACCTTGCATACCTCTTTCACCGGCATCACCCTTTTCGCCCTTTTCACCTTGTTCGCCCTGTTCGCCCTGTTCGCCCTTGGGTCCTTTTAGTGCTTCAAGCTGGGCAGCGGTAAACATATCGTAAGTAAAAGCCTTGCCGTCTTCTCCGTCTTTTCCGTCCTTGCCGTTGATTCCGTCAATGCCGTCTCGTCCGTCTCTGCCGTTGATACCGTCTTTTCCGTCAATGCCGTCTCGTCCGGGGTCACCTTTGTCACCCTTTTCACCTTTGTCACCCTTCACAATGTCAGTGTAGTGAACCTTCACGGAATCGTTGTCACTAACAGAAACATTGATTTTCCCATCCTCTTTGAAGTTCACTTTAATCATTAAAGCACCTCGTCATTAAGCACATCATGAACCGAAAGAGTAATTTTTGACGATGCCAAAACGGTGCCGTCAGCGGTCTTGAATCGAACTTGTGCAACCAAAGGGATTGATGCATCAAACCCCTTTGTTTCTTCCTGTGTAAGCTTAACTGTGACAATGTTGCCGTTGCATACAACATCCGGCTTTGTCTTCTCAAGCACGATTTCACCATTCTGCTGATATGAGATCACAATCTTGGAAAGGCTTTCCGTGTCCGTTCCAAGATCAAATGTATGGGTAGGTGTTGTTGCTCTGTACATCTGTCCTCCTTTACTTTGCAAGTTCTTCGGCAAGTATTTTTCGTTCAAACTCACCGTATTTTTCTTGCGCTTCTTTCACTCGTTTCAAACCTTCTTCAACTTCTCCGTTGCAATGTCCGTGTTTAAGTGCCATCGCAACCCCAATCGTAAGAGAACAATTTGCATCCATCAGCCGAAGGGAAAGCATTGATTCTTCTTTTCTGCGCTCGGATCTTTTTTCTTCTTCCTTCGCTGATTTACGAAGAGAATTCGACAGAACCGCAACAAGAACTGCGGAAAGAGCCGAAATGCAAGCCGTTATAATTGCCGTTACTTCCATTTCGCTCTCCTTATTCCATCGTCCATGTTCCGTTAATCGGAATCAAAGTAAAGATAACAGTTGAACCGCCGTTGATTGTAAAACTTCTATCTGCACTTACATGGGTTTCCGTATGATTTCCGTTATTTACAAGTTTCGCTGCGTAGCAAGTAGGTGAACCGGTAACACGCAGAAGCCAAAGTGCCGAAGTTGATGCGTTGCCTGCGAATGCAACAAGCGCAACCCCGGTCTGTTCGCAAGTCACAACGGCTGAAGTTGATGCATTTATAACTTTTGATGCGATTTTTTTGTCCGAAAGATATTCCGTAATCGGATTAACAATGTCAAGAAGTTCCGCTTCTACATTGTTGATCTTGCCGTCAAGTGTTCCAATCTGACCCTGAAGTGATGCCGTCAGCTGATCTCTCCAAGATTCGTCCTCTTGGGTAGGTGTTCCGCTGATGTTTTCATGCACTTCAATGACAAATTCAAATGTACTTGTTACAGTGTCAACATATGTGATTTTTGCCTGTGCTTTTGCCGTTCCGATCTGTGTGAACGCACCGCCTGACGGAATATCGAAACTGATTGTATTGCCTGTGATTGAGCCGACAACAGACCACACGGATCCGTTAGGTCTTTCAACCCATAACACGGCACTTGATCCGTTCTCGATTGTAGTGCCGGAAACAACGCATTCAATGGTTCTGCCGGTGTCTCCCTGAACCGCATGAATGGTCTGCAATGTGCCTTTGTTATTTACATCGCATTTAATTGTCTGTATCAATTTATGCTCCTTTCAACCTTTAGCAAAAAAGGAAATGAAGTTGTAGTTTTTCCGTTCTCGGTGACCACAATGCAGCAAGTTTGGTCATTCTCCGTTTCGATGTAATCAAAAACAAGTTCGGTATGTTTTCGCGAAAAGAATGTATTTCCGAAATTCCACACAATTCCGGCAATCTCTCTGTGTCTGTGCGTTACATGGTCTATACAATGCAGCATAACAGTTGCGTTGTCTTCAAACCTATCACAATCACAGAAAGCACGGAGGACAAGACGGACATCGTTTTCCACAGAATACGCAGAAGATCCGAAAGGAGTTTTGAAATATGCTTTTATGTCCATTTCTTTTCCTCCTTAATCAATCTTGTTCTGTTCAGCTTCGTTGTTCAGTTCGATTGTCATTTCGGACAACGGCACAATGACTTCGGACCCAAGTGTAAGTGTATTCGATGCCGGATTATCAAGCACCATTTTGCTTTTGGTGACATCGAATTGTAATTGCGTTTCAATGTCTCCGGCAAACACAAGCACTTTTTCACCAACGCGAATGTTGTTGAAGTTCGCGGAATTTACTGCAAATTCATCATACGGAAGGGAAACCGCTGAAATCGTAAGCACAAGTTTTTCATACTGTACGGAATTCAAATAGTTCTGCGCTTTCGTCTTAAGTCTTGAAGCCGTTCCCACAGTATCAAAAACAACAGTTTTTTCAATTATTCCGTAATCCTCGGCAAATTCACTGTCAATGTAGTCTTTGCCGTCATTCACCGCAGCAATCGTCAATCTGTCATCAATTCCCGGAACTGTCTGTGTTCCTGTCTTCTTGCCAAGCGGAATCAACCTTGTGCAAATGTCTGCCGTTTCGATGTTCTGTGCAATGTCAAGAATGTTCACACCAAGACGAACTTGCTTTCCTCCGTACATCGCATCAGTGCAAATATTAAGCACCCTTTCACCGCCTGAATAAACAGGATAGACATACCCTCCGGCCTCTTTTCGGATCTCGTCAATTGCCTTTTTAATCGTGCAATAGTTCCATTTTTTTGTTATCAGGTCTTCTTTGGCACAATAGATTTCCGGGATTTGCTTTTCCGTGTTCACCTCGGCATTGTACTTGTTGATCAGGTCTTCAACAACCTCATAAGCAACCGCATCTGTGTGCAAAATTGGCCTCAAAATGACATCGTTTAGAAACGCGGTGAAATCCTCGCACGATACAACTAAATTGCCTAAAAAGTCCTTTTTTAAGCTTTTAACTCTGCCGTAAAACACTTCTTCATAGCCAAAATCAACGGACGATGTATATTCAACCCTGACAAGTGTTTTTTGAACAAAAATCGAATTCGCAAAAGGATGTGAAGACGGCACCGTAAAAGTAAACGATGCCGATTTATTCACTTCGCTTGTAATTGTCGGATTCACAATTGCAAGTTCATCGGATTCGGATGTGCTGAACAAAGTTTCGTCAATGTACATTTTGAACATTACAAGTCACCGCCTTCAAGTTCAAGCCGGATTGCATTGATGCCGGAAACACTACGGACGGAAATTGAATTGCTTCCGTATCGGAATTGCGCTCCATAAATCCGTTCGTTTTCGCTCATTGATGTTCTTTGAATTATTCCTTTAATGCCTGTACCGTCAAAATCGACCTCAACACTTCCGTTGACATCAAGGTAAAAGTACGGAATCGCAATTGCCGTGCTGCACTCAATGATATACTGTCTCCACATTTCGCGGTCTTCGTCAAGTTCAAGTCTTACCGATGTTTTTGCAAGTGTCTTTTTGTACGGTTCTGCGTTTACGGTAACCGTAACACTTGCCGTTGAAACATGATCTTCAAGCGCGCCAACAGATGCCCTTCCTCTCCAATAAAATGCACTATCATCGGAGAAAACCACTTCAACACTTTTTCCGTGCCATTCCCGGTACAGTTCAGCCATTAAACTCGGCCATTCTTTTCGGTCTTTGCGGATCTCAAAAACAATGGTGATTTCCCGGTTATTATATCGGACATACGGAGAAACTGTGTCCGTCAGATCCACATCACCATCCGTCAAAGGAATCGAAATCGAATAGGTTTTCGCTTCAGGCGGTGCAATCTCCTTGTGAATGAAATCAAGGTCATAATCTGTATTGATTCTTCCGTTAATTGTTACCGTCATACTGTCAGCCGTCCTCTCTGCATTGCGATTCTGCCAAGTTCTGAATCGATATTAGGCGCAATCTGTCCGACAAGTGCCGAACCGTCAATGTATACACCCATCTTTGTCATTCTTGTCATCAGGTCAATAAGTCTGTCCATCTTGTCCGTGATCTCGTCAAGGGTCTTTCCCTTCAGCGGTGTAACTGTTGCACCTTTCGGAAGATCCACCAATTCGGCACCGGCTTCACCAACGATTGCGGAACCGCCTTCCGTTGCCGTACCACCTTTTGCAAGCGCAGGGATGTGCGGAATTGCGACATCGTCAAGACCCCAAGAAGCACCGAACATCTTGCCAACCGCAGTGATGATTACACGGAGCGGTGTCAAAAGGATATTCAAGCCGTCAATGGCTGCGTTAAGTGTTGAAATAATCGCATTTGCAACAGTTTTGACAACAAGCGGAATTGCGTTGAACACCTCGGAAAAGACATTGCCCACCGTCTTAATAGGCACAAGCACGAATTTCAGTGCATTTGTAAGTCCTGTTGAAATCAGTGTAATAATAGGCTTGATTATCGTTGTGATCAGTTCCATTGCCGGTTTGATAAATGCAATGACAACATCAAGAATAGGTTTCATCACATCAAGCAAAGGCTGAAGAATCGGAAGAAGCGCATTGACAAGCTGGACAATAACAGGAAGAACAGAAGATGCAATTTGCACGATTGACGGCATAATTGCGCTGATCAGCTGAACCATAACCGGCATAATTGCGCTTACAAGTTCCGAAAACGGAGGCAATAACTCATTGAAAAGGCTGAAAAGAACCGGCAAAAGTTCCTGAACCATCTGCATCAGCGGAGGCATCAAGAATTCAAACATTCCAATGAGAACCGGTGCGAACTGGTCAAACATCTCCTGAAGTGTCGGCATATATCCAATGATCATTTCCATAATTTCGGAAACGATTGGAAGAAGTGAATTGCCAAGTTCAAGCACGAAGTTTTCAAGATTCTGCTGAATCGTCTGCAACTTAACTGAAAATGTATCGTGCATTGTATTAAATGCCTGATTTGTTGCTCCGGCACTCGCACCCATCTGCTTCACAACACCATTGAGTTTTTCAGCATTGGAATTCAATGTAACTGCTGCCTTGGCTGCTTCGGACGAACCGAACAGATCCATCATTGACTTTCCGTTTTTGGATGCGTACTCGTCAAGAAGCGCAAGGACATCTGTCAATTCCCAACCTTCTGCCATCATGTCAGCGAAGGACATTCCACCTTCCTTCACATCTTTGGTCATTTCCGCAAGCACATTTGAAGCCTTGGTACCACACTTGCCAAGTTCGTTCAACATCGCATTGACAAGTGTGGTTGAATCAGCCGTAGCAATACCATTTGCCGTTAATACCGCGTACATTGCAGAAACATCGTCAAGCTGAACACCGAACGCGTTTGCGGTGGGAATTACCTTACCAAGTGAAGAAGCCAATTCGTCAACAGTTGTTTTACCTAAATTCTGCGTTGTTACAAGCATATCCGCGACCTTTTCGGCCGTTAAGCCTGATTCGGTACCGTATGCATTCAGCGCAGTTGTAAGGACATCAACCGCAGTTGTTGTCGATGTAAAACCGCCTTCAGCAAGCTTCATTGAACTCGCAACGAATTCAACCGCTTCAGCCTGATCAACACCGGCAGACAACGCACTGTAAACCGCATTTGAAATTTCGCTTGTCGAAACACCCATTTGGTTTGACAAGTCAATGATACTCTGCTTGTATGCATTAAAATCGGTCTTGTCCGACAAAAGTGTGCTTACCTGATTGAAGCTTGTTTCAAACTCTGCTGCTGCATTTACTGCCTTTCCACCGATTGCCGTAGCAACTCCGGCAGCTGCCGTTCCAATTCCAACCGCCCATTTCCCGGCTTTCTTCGCTCCGTCAACGAACTTGTCACCAAGGTTTGAAGCATTTTCGTCTGTTTTCTTAAGGGAATCATTTGCAGCATCCGTGTCAATAAAGATGGAGCCTACAAGTTTGAATAAATCCATTTATTTCCCTTTCTGTATCTTTTCTGAAATTGCGTGAACTTCTGCCAGGATCTCGCTTGCCGGTCTTTGGTCAATATTCCGTCCTGTGCATCGGTCAAAATACTCATTGAATGGGATGTACTTCAAATAGCCAATGGACATATACGGCAACATAGCGCACCATTGCTGATGTATTTCCGCTTTCCGTCTCTCCTCAATAGCCTTTAATACAAGATCAAGGAAAACCGCAATTTCGTAATTTTTCAGTTCTTCAATAGTTCCGTATCGTGACAACAGAAGGTCAATCAATTCAACTTGCCTAAAGTTGCCAACGATTTGAAAAAAGGTTTTAACACCTCTTTGTTAAGTTCAAAACATTCCTTCAGTGATTCCATAAATTCCGCAAGGTCTTTTTCCTTCAACTCGTCTGCGGTCATTTCCATCGGACCGGCAAGAAATTCATAAATTGCCGATTCGCTTTCCTTGTCACCGCAATTTGAGAGCAGATTGACAACGAACTCAATGCCGACTTTCTTTGCGTTGAAATTTTACAGTGCCGTCTTTAGCCGTTTCGGACATTTTGGCAAGTTCGTCTTTCAATCCAACTTTCTCAATTACACGAAGTGCAGAAAACACATCAGAAGTTTTTAAACTTTCTCATTTTTTGGCTCCTTTCAAAAAAAAGGTGCAAGGATTTCTCCTGCACTCACAAAAGCTATTTACGCAGTTGTTACAGTGATTCCGGCATAAAGTCCGGCCATATTGGTCAGGAAGGTCAGCGCATTCACCTTAAGTGTTGCTCTTGATCCGTCCATCACGATTCTGCCTTCTACGGCACCGCGGTCACCGTCTGCATTGATTTCGCGGAATTCTCTTTCGACAGAGAACGAACCGCCACCCCTCGTCAGCGCAACTTCAACACCGCCCACGGACAGAATTCCGGCACCAAGCATAATTTCGTCTGCTGCTTCGGTTCCGTTATTGTCGGCGTAGGTAATAGTCCACGGCTCTTCATAATCAGCCGTTGCACTTACCATATCGTTAGTGTTGGAATATACTGATGTAAAAGTGATTTCTGCAACAGTATCATCCTTTTCGGCAAATGCCCAATCAATGTTGCCCATATTGATTGCCTTTGCAAAAGTGATCTGTACAGAACCGCCCTTTTTGGTTTTGCCGGTCCACTGAATCTGCTTAAAATCGGAAGCTGATACAATGCCAGTTCCCTTAATAGTTCTTGTAATAGCAGCCATGATCTGCCTCCTTTTTATCTTTCGTAAGTCTGTGCATTGATGCGGATAAACTCACGCACAATGTCTCTGTCATTAGGATCGTCAATTTCGCTTCGTGTCACAAGGAAGAATGTCGGCAGAATGTCGGTTGTCGGTTCGTTCTTGCTTCGGAACAGATCTTCGACCGCATCCGCAATGTTCAGCACTTCTTCTTCGTTCTTTCCGTAAATGTCCACATCAATCGTGTAGTCAATCCGGCTTTCATCCGAAATATCCGAAGACGATAAACTGTACACAATATGCGGGATACATATTTGTGTTGTCAGCATACTTGTAAGAAATTGAAGTGATGCCGTATGCCGTTTTTATCGTGTTCAGTTTCTGCACGATCAATGCCCTTAATTCATTGCTTCTCATTCGTCACCGCCTTCAAACTCTTTTTCGTCAATCTCTGCTTCAAGCCTTGATGCTTCACCGCTTAAGCCGGACAAATATTGCGATTCGATTTTGATTATCTCCGCAACATTGTCATTTACTGTTCGTGTCAGTATGCCCAGCTTCGGCACCCTTCCGTCTTTCGTGCCCAAATTCCTGAAAGTACGCATAGAATCCATCAACCTTGCCGGTCTTAAGACCTATTTGCACTTTTGGAAATTTTGTGTTTTTGCCTGAAACAACTTGATATTTCGTTGCCTTCTTGGATGCGCCTGTTATCTTGTGGAAATTCTTGTAATACTCAAGATTGAAAAGCTTTGTTACAAACTTTCCGACATCCCGGAGTGCTGCCCTTGACAATTCAAAGATGTAATACTGTGTCGCATCAAGATTGCTTGTGTACTCGACATTGTAAGACCCTTTTTTGACAACAGTTTTTGGTCTGTGATTTAGGGTGTACTCACTCGTCAACACCTCTTTTACAAACAAGTTCAGGGTATTGTTCTTTCTGTAAGTTCTAATTACAGTGTACCGCTCCGCAGTCTCTTTTCCGTATTCCTTGTATTCAATAACTTTCTCGTTATCGTAATCAAGAAAGTCCGGGATAACGAACTTTATTTCAGGCTTCAAGCCAACGGATGCAGCTTGGTAGAACTCGCTTTTGCGTAAGCTTTGAAGTCCGGCAAATACATTTCTTGCCGTTTCAGTTAGTCACCCAATCTCCGTACTGATTCACAGATTTCGTCTGTTTAATCAGCGCAATCACTTCGTTATACATCGGTTATTCCTCCGTGTTCGTAAGTGTAGATTTCCGCAGATTGTCGCACTGAAGTTCAAAGCTTCTTGCATACCCTTCAGAAGTCTGCAAGTCAGGTGCCATCACCATAAGAACGAATGTTTGTGACGGCTCTTGTGACAAGCGAACCTTCTTCGCTGACCGCATCGGCAGAAACTCCGGCGCGGATCAGTTCTTCTTTTGCCGTCTCGATGTTGTCGGCAATCTCCGTATCAAGTGCGTTCGTTGAAATACGAAGCGCAGCTTTTGTTTTTTCAAACAGTGTCATTGTTTGCCCTCTCAACATAAGTTTCATCAATAGCAATATATCCGATGTGACCGACCTTTACAGACGATCGCACCAAATGTCAAAACCGCATTCCTTGGCTTTCAGGCAGAAGGACAAATCTTCACCAAAACCCTGAATAGGATTAAACGGCAGACCCTTTTTTTGGCTGATTTTAGCCATTGCAGAAGTACGGACAAGCACCGCGCCAAAACCACACGCATCGACCTTAAAAACGGCATTTTTTTGGGTAATCCTCAAAAGATTCGCAATAGGTGTCAGCATCCCGGTGTCAATATCAAGTTCGTATGAACAACGGCTATATATACAAGGCTTGTACTTCGGTTTTCTTGTGAAGAACAGACCGCATACAATGTCCTTGCCTTTAATATCCTTCATCAGCCGTTTTAAGATGTCCGGCTGAAAAGTCATGTCAGAATCAAGCCACAACACATAGTCAAAGCCTTCATCTATTGCCTTTTGGCAAAGTCTGTCCGGGAATCGTATACAAGCGAACCCTTCAAAAAATACGGCTCAACTCGCCAATCGGTTCAATGTTTGCGAACGATGTCACAAAATCAACCGGCACTGTCTCCATACACGGAATTGCTATCAATGTTTTCATTCTTTGGCTCCTTTCGGCTCCCTAAAAAAACATGAGGAGACAACGGAGCCGTGTTGCGTCCTCCATATCACTCGGAGAATTCACCCCGGAATGACTTAATTAAGATGCGCGGTAATACTGAACAAACGCAGCTGCATTGTCAAGCTTACCATCTGCCTGACATACACCGCGGAATACAACAGAATTGCTGCGGAAACCGATTGCATCATCCTTGCCGATTGATACACCATTCGCCCATGTTAAGACGGTAATGCTTCAGGTCACCGTAAAGGATTTCGTCAACACCACCAACCTTGCAATTGTCATCAACAACAACAGGCTTGCCAAACAGACGGAAAGAGAAACCGTCATTTACATTGACAAAGGAATTGTGATCCGCAATTGCCATAACCTCGGAATAGAATACCTTGGCCGGCATGATCCAAGTAGCATTAGCCTGATAGTCAGCCGGAAGAGATGCCATAATCTTCAGAAGGTCTGCCTTGGTTTGCAGCTGCCTTGGTGAAGGTGCCAGCTGCGGAAGTGTTTAGCAACAAGGATGCCGGTAGGCTCGGAAGAAGAAGAACCGCCACCCACAAGGATTGCCTTCTGCCAGTGCGCTTTCAATCTTGTTAGCAAGTGCCTTGGCAAGATAAGATTCAAAAGCCGGAATGCTCATTGCCTTCATATCTGCACCGATTTCAACGGTCTTGATAAGCTGATAAGGTGTCAGGTCAATGTAAGTCCATTGCATCCGCAGAATCGGTAGAAGTGGTAGTCCAAGTAGCATCCGCGTTGGTGCTATAAACAGGAATACGAACATAGCCGGGGATCTGAAGCAGATCAACTTTGCCAAGAAGTGCGTTCGCGTTAAGACGAGTAACGATCATGTTAAGAGTTTCGGTAGGAATAACGGCTGCGGAGCCGGTGACTGCTGCTCCTCTCTTCTCGGTGATTTCCTTGCCCATAAGGTTCTTCAGCCATGCTTCTCTGTAATTGATTTCCATATCATTTTCCTTTCTTTCTTCAACGGCTTCAACAATTTTGCCGTCCTCTTTGTGTGACTCAAGTGCTTCGGCATCCTGCCTTGCGCTCTTCGATGATCTTCAAGTTCCTTCTTGCGTTCAAGAAGTGCTTTCTTCTCCTCTGTGGCTGCTTCAACGGCCTCACTTCGGTCATCTCGCGCACTTCTTCTTCAAGGCTGCAAGCCTTTCAAGGACTTCCGCAAGATTCATTTCAGCTTAATTCCATTGTTAAGCCTCCATAAATTCAAATTTTGCTTTCGCAAGTGCAAGTGCTTTCTCTCGTTCAAGTCTCTCCGCTTTTTCTTCGCTGATCACTCCGTCAACAAAGGAACGAGCCGAATCTCTGTGTTAGGGATAGCCGGAATTGATACGGCAGAAACATCGTACACTTTCCGCACGGATTCAATTGTGCGTGTCCGTGTCTTCTTGTCATATGATTCCTTGTCAACTGTGAATGCCCCAAGACATTCGGTCAACAAGTCCGGCTTTAATATCTTCATACATTCTGCGTGATTCCTCGGTCAATCCAAGGGTCTGCACGAACATATAAACCATGTTCATCAATCCGAAGTTCAAGGGAACCGTTTTTCTGTCTTGCGAATACTCTGCCTTCGTGATTGTATAAAAAAAGCACATCGGTCATGTCAGCGTTGTCAAATGCCTTCTTGTCGATCTGCTCCATTATCTTTATATTGCCGTCATCATAAAGCACATAAGGGTCATTGAAGGTTGTTGCATAACCTTCGACAATGTACTTTTCGCCATCGTCCTCTTTTGCCCTAACTTCAAACGCAGAAATGTTTCTGTATTCTCTCGTTTCTTTAATTGCCATCTTCATCACCTTCCTGATTGTCAGTGTTTTCCCGGTTCTGGTCTTCATTAGTGCCATCATTAGGTGTCACCATCAGTGTCACCAATCGTGTCACCGATTTTCTCCGTGTCAAGTCGCATCACAAATTCGTCACCGCCCTCATACGGAGCCAAGTTCAAAAGCATTCTGTACTCATTCGGTGTCATTAGACCCCTGTCAACAAGTGCGACCATTCGTAATTTTGTCATGACGGATGCATATTGCATTCGGTTCGATTCGTATACAATGCAATCACCAAATGCCCTTTCCCTTGCCGTAAAGCACTTGCGTGTCAATTCAGTTGACAGAGCAACAAGGAATGGTTCAATTGCGCCCTCATAAAAGGCTTGCATCTGTGATTCCGTGTAATCGTTCATCAGAATTGAGTTATTTACTCCGTAATAACGATAAACATTTTCCCGGAATTCCTTCTGCTGCTCCCAAGTTGTAATAGCCGGACTCATTGTAATCGGTGTAAATTCTTCCGTTGCATCAAGTGAAGCAATACCGCCCTCGTTTTCAAGATTCAAATAGTCCTTAATGAACTGATCTTTTTTGCGCTTTATGTCAGCATCGGAAAGCATTGCCTTTGTTGACTTCAAAATGCCTCGCAGATTTGCCGTTGATTTAAACCGCGTTTGCAATGCCCTGATTTGTTGTGTTTACAAGTTCAAGCATCGGCAGAAGCGCGTCATTATCATCACCGCCAATGTCATATTTGTTGTAGACTTGCGGACAACGGCAAGATCAGACCACGGCAGCACTATTTCCTTTTCGGAATCTCCGTTGAAGTAGAAACGAATGAAAAGCCGTCCGTTATAGTCAATAGCTTCATATGAACTGTACGGAACAGGATAGAAGCCGGACGGTCTGCCTTTATCGTCTCGGTTGATATAAATAAATACAGTGTTCTGAATCTCAAGCCGGATGCGTACTTTTGCGAGGAAGTCTTTTCCGTTCATGTACATATTCGGTGATTCGTTTAGGATTCTTTCAACATCCTTAAACGAACATTTTGCGTTTGCTTTGCTTGTATGTTCTGACAATGCCCGGATGCACGAACGAACAACATCACTCTTGAAAATGTCCCGAACCAAACGCAGAGAATAAAGACCGATATGCGCCCAATTCGCGCCAAGATCCGACCCTCTGTGCATTTAGCTTTGCCGGTTTGAAAAAGTCTAAAAAACCCATTTTTTCCACCTCAAATACGGAATATAATCATTGTAATATTTAACGAACCCAACCCCCACGCATTGAGAAGGGAAACGGTGCCATCAATTCGCCTTGTCTGTGTGTGTCCTTAACCGGCTGAATCGTTTCAATTCCGTCCTTGTAAGTGCTTTAACCGATGTATTAGCCAAGCACCAACGCAAAGATTGGATTGTTATTATACACAACACGATGCTCCCGGAATGCCGACCCCATTTCCTTCATTGGCTGACTCCAAGTATATGGACCCTGTGGAATCTTAACCATATCGAAACCCATGTCCGACATACTGCTCTTGCCAATATCCGGCCAATGCTCGGTCATAGCACACCCAAAGCGGTCTTATATCGTGCTTTTGCACCTTCTCGACAAACCAATCCGTAACCTTGGAATAGTCAACGGATGCGCCATCGTTAATCGTGATCCATCCTTGTTCTGCCCACAATTTGTACGGTGCTTCTTTGCTCTTGGTCTTTTCAAGTTCGTCAATTCTGCTCTGTGGCAAGAAATAATGCTGAAGCACATACACATTCGGATCATCCGGCTTGCAGATCAGAAGGCTTGCACAAGTCAAGTCATACACGGAAGACAAGTCACACCCTCCGATTGCGTAAGAATGTTCAAGATATTCCATCGGCACCGGTTTTCTCTTGCAAGATGTCCTCAAAGTGCAACCAACTTGTGATTTCGGTCTGCTTCAGGTTAAAGTCTTTCACCATAACTGTCGGCTTGAATGACGGATCATCCTTTCGCCTTCTGCACCATCTCACGCAAATACTCTTTGCTTTTGATCGTGCCAAGACCGGGATTTGCCTTTATCCAACACTTTTCATCATCCCATTCATCAGGCGAATCAAGTTCGTATATAAACGGCAGAAATTTGTCATTTTTTACGGTACCGTCAAGAATGCCGGATGCGTATGCGTATTGTGCATCAAAAATGCCTTCACGCACAAAGCCGTTTGTTGTAATACAGAACATCAAAGGTTGTCTTCTTGCGCCCTGCGATTGCTTTATCAAGTCATATATATCTCTGTTCTTGATTGCTGCAAGTTCGTCAATCACGGCACCATGACAATCAAGACCATCCAAAGAATTGCTATTTGATGCAAGTGCTTTGATATAGCCGAAATTCGGAGGGAAATATAAATCAGCTGCCCTTTTCTTGAATGTTTTGTGACAACACCGGGGATTGCTTTTATCATCTTCAACGCAGCATTGAATCCCAATTTGCTTTGTTCAAGCATTGTTGCCAAATTATAAATCTGCGGTGCGCCTTCCTTGTCATTCACAAAGTAAATCAATCTCAACCGCAAGCCGTTTCCGTTGTCTTGCCGTTCTTTCGGCCTTCAATGATCATGCATTCGTTGTATTGCCGAAGGTCATTATCATCAACAAAGCCGAACAAGGCTTGCAATCGTGCTTTTTGGAACAGTTCCAAGCGCAACGGCCTGACCGACATTGCCGGACGGAAGTTTGCAAAAGGTTTCAATGAAGTCCGTATGCCGTTTTGCTATTTTTTCGTCAAAATGGTATTCATCCGGGAATAAGTAACGATTCATCAGAATTTCGGAAATCCGTTTCATTTTGTCGCAAGCAACAATTTTGCCGTCAAGGATCTGACCGAAATACTTTTCAAAGTCCGTCAATGGTTGTTCACACCCAATCAGAAGACTATCACTTGCAGCCGTCTTGTCAGCTTGTGGGATAAGGCTTGCAAGGAACCGAATCACAACACCATACTGTTTCTGCATCTGCAAATATGTTGTCATTGCTGCGGTCTGCTTCGTGCCGTACTGATATTGTTCGCCAACACCTTCCGTCTTTATCTGTTCCCGGAGCGCAATCAACTGATCATGCATAAATTCAGCATCTTCAATCATGCCGGAAACTGTCAGCCATTTCTCTTCTGTTACAATCGGCTTGAAAATGTCCGAAAGTTCTTTTGTCTTTTTCTTCGTTGCCATATATCTCCTAAAGTTCCCCTAAAAAAGTCAATATCCGTCAAAATTAAAGAGTACTCTGCGTTGATACCCACTGCTT